AAGACCACATCTTGGGTATGAAGTTTTACAATTTCCCTGTAAGACCACATCTTGGGTATGAAGTTTTACAATTTCCCTGTAAGACAACATCTTGGTATGAAGTTTTACAATTTCCCTGTAAGACATCTTGGGTATGAAGTTTTACAATTTCCCTGTAAGACATCTTCGGTATGAAGTTTTACAATTTCCCTGTAAGACATCTTGGGTATGAAGTTTTACAATTTCCCTGTAAGACATCTTGGGTATGAAGTTTTACAATTTCCCTGTAAGACATCTTGGGTATGAAGTTTTACAATTTCCCTGTAAGACAATTTCAAGACATCCTGGGTATGAAGTTTTACAATTTCCTGTAAGACCATCTTGGGTATGAAGTTTTACAATTTTCCTGTAAGACCACATCTGGGTATGAAGTTTTACAATTTCCTGTAAGACATCTCTGGGTATGAAGTTTTACAATTTCCTGTAAGACATCTGGGTGAAGTTTTACAATTTCCTGTAAGACCACTTCTGGGTATGAAGTTTTACAATTTCCCTGTAAGACCATCCTGGGTATGAAGTTTTACAATTTCCTGTAAGACCACATCCTGGGTATGAAGTTTTACACTTTCCTGTAAGACCATCTCCTGGATATGAAGTTTTACAATTTCCCTTTAAAACCACATCCTGGGAATGAAGTTTTACAATTTCCCTGTAAGACCACATTCTGGGTATGAAGTTTTACAATTTCCCTGTAAGACCACATCCTGGGTATGAAGTTTTACAATTTCCTATAAGACCACATCCTGGGTATGAGGTTTTACAATTTCCCTGTAAGACCACATCCTGGGTATGAAGTTTTACAATTTCCCTGTAAGACCACATCCTGGGTATGAGGTTTTACAATTTCCCTGTAAGACCACATCTTGGGTATGAAGTTTTACAATTTCCCTGTAAGACCACATCTTGGGTATGAAGTTTTACAATTTCCCTGTAAGACCACATCTTGGGTATGAAGTTTTACAATTTCCCTGTAAGACCACATCTTGGGTATGAAGTTTTACAATTTCCCTGTAAGACCACATCTTGGGTATGAAGTTTTACAATTTCCCTGTAAGACCACATCCTGGGTATGAAGTTTTACAATTTCCCTATAAGACCACATCCTGGGTATGAAGTTTTACAATTTCCCTGTAAGACCACATCCTGGGTATGAAGTTTTACAATTTCCCTGTAAGACCACATCCTGGGTATGAAGTTTTACAATTTCCTAAGACCACATCCTGGGTATGAAGTTTTACAATTTCCTGTAAGACCACATCCTGGGTATGAAGTTTTACAATTTCCCTGTAAGACCACATCCTGGGTATGAAGTTTTACAATTTCCCTGTAAGACCACATCCTGGGTATGAAGTTTTACAATTTCCACATCTTGGGTATGAAGTTTCCTACAATTTCCCTCTAAGTTAAAACCACATCCTGGGTATGAAGTTTTACAATTTCCCTGTAAGACCACATCCTGGGTATGAAGTTTTACAATTTCCCTGTAAGACCACATCCTTGGGTATGAGGGGTTTTACTGGTACTTTTGTTGTTGTACACTTGATGAATTGAGCAGCAGATTAAAATTGGATCTAGTGTTTCAAATGACTAAAGTAAAAACATGAGAGACTTGAAACTTTAACATTACTGATGACTGACTGGAATTGAACCCACAACCTTCTCATCAGTGGTCAGTCACTGTAACAGTATTAGACAAAGGAGCTGATTCAAGATAAGTGTTTCAGTAGAAGGCATCATATCAAAGTGCATATATCTGGCCAGATGAGAGACTGTCGTAATGGCCTTTTAGACATAAAATCATTAATAGGAAAGACTTCCACCCGTATCCCCTTAAATTCATTCTAGTCATATCATATCACCTGAATATATATTCCTCATCTGATAAGGATGAGTTTTAACATGTTTCTTTAATTGTATCTAAACGTACCGAAAGACATATTCAACTTCTAAAAATTTAGCAAATCATATCACCTGAATATATTTTCCTTATCTGATAAGGATGAGTTTTAACATGTTTCTTTAATTGTATCTAAACGTACCGAAAGACATATTCAACTTCTAAAAATGCCACTCAGAGAAATTTTCCTCATCATTAAAATTTAGGGGATACAGGCGGAAGTCTTACCCATTATGAAATGTCATTTTGTTGGCAAATAAGTCACAGAAAACACTTCCCCATTGTTGGGGCAGAAAATGTCGGAGTGCTCATTGTCACTTCAGCTCAGGTGAACAGGCCAAGAACATAAAGGTTCCTCGTACTGTTACACAAGTCAGCATAATGTAGTTTTAGTACCGCCCAATAATGTACAGCAGTTCATTTGCGAGAACAGCTTTCAGTCTGAGGCAGGTTTGTAAAAATATAATGAGGAATGATAAGAGTCAGCACACCAAACATTAGTCCTTTGTGACAGACACGTGAAGATCCGGGTTAGAATTGGTCTTCAGAAACTCATGCTTGTTGTAAGAGGCGACTAACAGGATCATGGGCTCGCTGAATTACATGTCATCGTATCCCAAATGCGTAGATCATGCCATTGATCACTGGATTGTCTGGTCCAGACTCAATTATTTACAGACTACCACCACATAGCTGAAATATTGCTGAGTGCGGCGTTAAACAACAAACGAACAAACCCCATTTGTGACAACTTCAGTGCAAGTGCTGGAAATTGTGTTTAGCACATTTAACTTGATAATATAGAAACGGTAAATTTAGGAATGTAAATCTGATCTTACGTTTATGCAAGCAGCTTGACATTAAAATTGTGTGCTATTTTCTCCATTTCAAATACTCTTAACTGATGTTACTTTGAGAAAAATTTCGGTCAAGAGTCCGAGGTAAAGCGGGTTCTGATTGAACAGAACTTTGCTTGATGAAGAAAAAGCATGATCAACTTGGGACCATAAATTTGGTTCATTTATAGTGAGATCTGGATCAGAGTTTTGACAGATTTCAGTGTAAATTCTTGATTTCATCCTGTTTCCCCCATGATGTACTGGTGACAAGAATCCTAGATGGGACTGTGTACAAGCATGACTCATTAACCATATTAACATATATAGTGAACAATGTTAAAAATACTCTTAAACTTTTAAATGGAACAATAAACTAACATGCCATAAAATCCAATTTCATGCTTCTGTCAACATGGGCTTGGTACATATAGTACTTGCTGATTAAATGTTTCAATATGAACAAAGAAAAGTTAGAGCGATTGAGTGAGTTTTACGCCACTTTTAGCAATATTCCAGCAATATCACGTCAGGGGACACTAGAAATGAGCTTCACACAAAGTACCCATGTGGGGAATTAAACCTGGGCCTTTGGCATGACGAGCAAACGCTTTAACCACTAAGCAACCCGCCGTCCCAAGAAAAGTTAGAAACGGTGTAAAATGGTGATAGTTTCCAAAGGCAGTTGGACATGGAGACTGTACCATTTTGTTACGTGTCTGAGGTCAATGTGACCTATGCAGACTGGAGTAAAATGGTTAATATCACCTGTGGTCTTTTGACCAATACCGACAGGGACCATTTGAACAATATTTACAGGGCAACTTCTTTGAGTGGCATTTAGAAGCTGGTATGATGAACAGGAATGATTTTTTATGGACAGACAACTTCCTTATCGCAATGGATGCGAAGGTTTCGGTGTCAATGCTAACAGTTATTAAGCAAGTCCATAAAAAAATCGTTCCTGTTCATTATTTACAGGGGACATGTGTCCGCATGACCGAATACTGACTGGAGTCATGTGACCAATAGTAACTTGGGTCACATGACCAATACCAACTGGGGTCATGTGGCCAATAGCAACTGGGGTCAAGTGGCCAATGCCAACTGAAGTAGCATGACCAATACCAACTTAAGTCACATTACTGGTACCAACTGGGATCATTAGACCAATACCACTTTCAGTCATGTGACAAATACAACCCAACATCATGTCCCCAGTACCAGCCTGAACCATTTGACAAAATCCATCTGTGGTCACATGACAGATACCAGCCACCGGCATATGACCAATATGAGCCAAGGTCATGTGACCAATACCAACTCAGACTTCGTAGTATGTCTGTGTTTAAGATACTGGAAAAGTTCAAGCATTAAAATCTTGGGCACATTTCAGAAAGCTATGTCAGCACTAAGTGAGTGAATATTGTTTAAAGATTTATCAGTGGTTCTACAGCTGTACGCTCCTGTTACTCCCACAACTATGTTAAACTTACCACTAAGACCTCTTTATGGAACTGGCCCCTATAGTTTGGCATGAAATGCATGTGGACCCGTTTTTTGATGACAGCTAGAAGTAGTCAATGTGAATGATTCAAACGGTCTATCACTGTGTAGTGCACAGGTAACTATCATGAACTGCACGTGCATTTACTTTTATGACCCAACACTGCCGCTGTTACAGGTCATTGGCTCCCTCCCTCTGCAAGCAGTTTGCGTTCTGCTGTTTATTTTGTTGACAGTTACATAGACAGATTCTTTAATACAAATGCATAAAATCAGTGATTTACAATGTGATTAGGTTGTCTGACAAAACATCCACTTGCACAGTTTGAGATCGATTGGGTCATTGGATGAAGAGATATTTACAAAAAAACGGGTCCACATGCATTTCATGCCAATTTTTAGTGTGCATGGTAACAAAGATGGAGAGCTGTTTCCCTGAATCCTATTGCACAAAACCATCTTAGCATCAAGAGTGAGTGAGTGAGTGATTGAGTATGGTTTTATGCCACTTTCAGCAATATTCCAGCAATATCACGACAGAGGACACCAGAAATGGGCTTCACACATTGTACCCATGTGGGGAATCGAACCCGGGTCTTCAGCGTGACGAGCAATAACTTTAACCACTGGGCCACCCCACCGCCCCTTAGCATTAAGAGCCTCATCAAGTATTGCCAGAGTGTTAACATAGAGTGAGTTATGACAGCCTGAAGCAACATTACCTGTATTTTGGTATCCACTTGATACTGGGGACCTTCTTCTTGAGGAAGTCAAGGGTGCAGATTCCAGCTCCACACTCCTTGATCTTGGCACTGAGCTGAATGTTGACCATGTCGGGATCCTCGTCCACAAAGCCTAGCTTTTGCTCTGCCATGTTAATGGCTCCATCCGGATCCGGAAACTGAAATAATTAAAATATTCCAGGGTTACATATCTGATATGCAAAAGGACTCTGTTGACTCTGCTGTGGGTGGGTACCTGGAAGGATGAAATGGTAATATGTCTGTTACAAGGAGTGACATATATGGTGTGGAAAGTGTTCATCCAGCAATGAGTGGGTACCTGGAAGGATGAGATAGTTATATGTCCCGTACAAGGGATGACATATCTGATATACAGAAATGACTCTGTTGACTGCTGAGGATGGGTATCTGGAAGGATGAGATAGTTATATGTGCCCGGCTTCCTACAAGGGATGACATATCTGATATACAGAATATGACTCTGTTGACTGCTGAAAATGGGTACCTGGAAGGATGAGATAGTTATATGAACCCTACAAGGGAAGGATGATATAGAAAATCTGTTGACTGCTGAGGATGGGTACCTGTCTGTCTACAAGGGATGACATATCTGATATACAGAAAATGACTCTGTTGACTGCTGAAAATGGGTACCTGGAAGGATGAGATAGTTATATGAACCCTACAAGGGATGATATATCTGATATACAGAAAATGACTCTGTTGACTGCTGAGGATGGGTACCTGGAAGGATGAGATAGCTATATGTCCGCTACAAGGAGTGACATATCTGATATGCAACATGACTCTGTTCACTCTGCTATGGGTGGGAACCTGGAAGGATGTGATGTCTGCTCAAAGGAATTGCAATTCTGGTATGGTAAGTGACTGTTTATCTAATTTTTCTTTTCAAATTAACCCAGACATTTCTGGCTCCAGCTTCTTTGCACATTGATCAGTGTCATGTAAGAAACTAAAGTAGTCAGACCTTACAATCATGTGATCATCACTACGGATACGTCCTATAGTACTGGGAAGTGTGGACGAGGAACCAAAATAGGGTACAAAAGGGCAAGGGGAAGCTAAATAACACGTGAACTATGACACACAGAGGGACCTCCTTGCACTAGAGCTGCAGGATGTTATGAATCATATCAACATCAATAACAGCATGTGAAACAAAATCCTACATTAAATTTAAAAAATAGAAGAATTGCTACATCAATCAAATTCTATATTTAGTTTGATTTTGACCAAACTCCCCAAAATAACCTTCAAAGGCTTCTAAAACAACATTTCAAATTGAACAGCAATGCTTGTATTCAGAGCAGGTTACATCAAAAACTACAACTTTAGAGTGGAAATAACTTCCACAAAAATACAGAAGCAAGTATGCAAAAGATTTACTGAAGCCATTAATAAGGGTTAAGCCAATATTAAGCCTGACTGACTGAGTTTGGTTTTATGCCACTTTTAGCAATATTCCAGCAACATCACGGTGGGGGACACCAGAAATGGGCTTCACACATTGTACCTATATGGGGATTCGAACCCGGGTCTTCGGCGTGACGAGCCAACACTTTAACCATTAGGCTACCCCACTGCACCCCCATATTAAGAAGTGGACCATGGAGAAAGACAGTATTATTGTACTGCCTACAGCATGAGAGTCATCACAAGTAGTCTCAGATCATGCTGTAGTAGGAAGCATTGCCCACAAACATATCACACGTTGGGTCACAAGATCAAGTTTAGGACACTTGATATAGTTCCTTTTGTGGTCATGTGTTCTCATTTCCCTTCTGCACCAAGTCATTAAGAGAGGAAATTTGACAGCAACAACAGAGAAAAACAATCTGATTCTGTCTGTTTGAATCTGAAAGCATACATCTTATCCTGATTGTAGAACATAGTGGACAAAACCACAGTATTTAGGTATAAGCACAAGATGCTGTGATATAGCTGGGTTTTGATTTAATAATAACAAAAAGGAACATAATGATAAAACATTGAGGAGCTTATATAACAGCAATTTCCTATTCAAGTAGATTGAGAGCATGTACTAAATCTGACTCAAGTAATGTGAGCATGGTCAAGGATCTTCAATACCATGGCTTTATGACTTTGTTTTTGTTTGTTGTTTGCACTCAGCAAGATTCCAACTATATGGCAGCAGTCTGTAAATAATCAAGTCTGGACCAGACAATCCAGTGTTCAAGAGCATGAGTATCAATCTACTCAATTGGGGTACGATGACATTGTGTTAACCAAGACAGCGAGCCTGACCACCCGATCCTGTTAGTCGCCTCTTACGACAAGCATGGGTTGCTGGAGACAAATTCTAATCCAGATCTTCACGGGTTATATATATGAATTTGTAGTCACAGCTGTAGTGTATGAGACAATTCCAACAACATAATATGAGTCATTCTGCTCCTCGTATGAGTGAGTGAGTGAGTTGTTTCACACCGCACTCAGCAATATTCCAGCTATATGGAGGCAGTCTGTAAAACATCGAGTCTGGACCAGACAATCCAGTCATCAACAGCCTGAGGATTGATCTGCACAATTGGGAACCGATGACATGTGTCAACCTAGTCAGCGAGCCTGACCACCCAATCCTGTTAGTCGCCTCTTACAACAAGCATGGGTTCCTGAAGATCAATATTCTAACCCGGACCTTCACGGGTAGCTCCTCGTATGAAGCCACAAGAAGCTGAGAATCATGCATTTAAGTCATCAATGATGTGACACAATACATCAACAAAACAAATAATAATTAATTTACATTTTTTGTCATGCTGAAAAAAGAGCCATCCATACCTCCACTTATTGTGCATCTTATTAAAAAAATATTAGAAATTTAGATCAATTGGTAATAGTCTTTATAATTTATAATGTAAATCAAGTTAGTTGCTTAGTAACACATAAAGAAAGATCAAGTTGACACATGCATGAGTAGTGTTTTTCATCACATAAATTTCCATGGGGAAAACTGAGATAGGAAAACTCTATATCATTTCATGTCAGAATAAAACTTCCGGGTGGGTGGGAGATGGGAAACAGAAAAATATATCGACAAAGGCTTATGGCAAGTGTGAATAGTAGTGTAACAATATGCTTTAATGCTGTCAGAATGACGAAGTCAATGCATCTTATCCGGTTGCAGGAGTGAGTCAGTTAGTTCATTTGTATGCCGCTTTTAGCAGTATTCCAGCAATATCATGGCGGGGCACATCAGAAATGAACTTCACACGTAGTACCTATGTGGGGGATTGAACCCAACAGTTACCATGGTAACACACAGAATGACTTCCTTAGATGCATAAGAACAAATTATATGCATACAAACACATAGTATCATTTTGACAATTATTTTAAAAATATATTTTAGAAATAATTGCCGAACAGATCTGGACCTGGTTGAGCATGGCTTGATGCAGGCGATGTTTGGTAGTATGCAGTGTTGGAAAAGAACGCTAACCTGTTGTCCTGTGGCAGTAATACTGCAGATGGACCAGGAATTGTTCTGTGTCTTGGGTAATAAAATATTGACAACCTCTTTTACAAGAGCCTACAGATATTAAAGGTATTTATTATAATGCTTAATGAATTTAGTTAAATTCCTGGGTTTAAACACTGTGTAACCTATGTCCGCTTCTTCAGGCAGAACACTTTCCCTCCCTCCAGTTTTCTATTTTATTGAACCTTATTTCAACACTGTCAACATTTTCATAATGTATTAGACACATCTCTCTTCAAACTATTCTACTCTATACAATATTAATTTGGATTTTTAGTTCTGTCATAACTTCCCAAGGTGCTTGTTTGACAACACTCCTTATACGGAAGATACAACATACCTTAACATGATATAACATTATATCCTCCCTGTCCTCAACCATCTGTGGTTACTGTCATCAGATGATCACAACCACGGTACATTTCAGTGATACGGAAGATACAACATACCTTCACATGATATAATGTTATATCCTCCCTGTCCTCATCCATCTGTGGTTACTGTCATCAGATGATCACAACCACGGTACATTTCAGTGATACGGAAGATACAACATACCTTAACATGATATAATGTTATATCCTCCCTGTCCTCATCCATCTGTTGTTCTGTCATCAGATGATCACAACTATTGTACATTTCAGTGATACGGAAGATACAACATACCTTCACATGATATAATGTTATATCCTCCCTGTCCACATCCATCTGTTGTTCTGTCATCAGATCATCACAACTATTGTACATTTCAGTGATACGGAAGATACAACATACTTTAACATGATACAATGTTATATCCTCCCTGTCCTCAACCACCTGTGGTTACTGTCATCAGATGATCACAAGTATTGTACATTTCAGTGATACGGAAGATACAACATACCTTAAGATGATATAATGTTATATCCTCCCTGTCCTCATCCATCTGTTGTTACTGTCATCAGATGATCACAACCACGGTACCTTTCAGTGATACGGAAGATACAACATACCTTCACATGATATAATGTTATATCCTCCCTGTCCTCATCCATCTGTGGTTACTGTCATCAGATGATCACAACCACGGTACATTTCAGTGATACGGAAGATACAACATACCTTCACATGATATAATGTTATATCCTCCCTGTCCTCATCCATCTGTGGTTACTGTCATCAGATGATCACAACCACGGTACATTTCAGTGATACGGAAGATACAACATACCTTAACATGATATAACATTATATCCTCCCTGTCCTCATCCATCTGTGGTTACTGTCATCAGATGATCACAACCACGGTACATTTCAGTGATACGGAAGATACAACATACCTTAACATGATATAATGTTATATCCTCCCTGTCCACATCCATCTGTTGTTCTGTCATCAGATGATCACAACTATTGTACATTTCAGTGATACGGAAGATACAACATACCTTAAGATGATATAACGTTATATCCTCCCTGTCCACATCCATCTGTGGTTACTGTCATCAGATGATCACAACTATTGTACATTTCAGTGATACGGAAGATACAACATATCTTAACATGATATAACATTATATCCTCCCTGTCCTCATCCATCTGTGGTTACTGTCATCAGATGATCACAACTATTGTACATTTCAGTGATACGGAAGA